AGAGAGAGAGAGAGAGAGAGAGAGAGAGAGAGAGAGAGAGAATGAGAGAGAATGGTTGGACATAGCAGCAAAATCTGTTATCTTATAGAAAATCACCATTATATGGAGTTAACTGGAAGCATTATCTTTCTTATTGGCCAAAGAAGCATAATATCCCTCCAATCATATCAAGATGAAAACAAAATAAAAAACTACAAACACAAATTTTAATAGTGGCAGCAGTTAATATTCCATCATATGCCTTTTACTGACCATTCAGAACAATGCTTTTCCAGCTGTGAGTCACAAACTAGGCTGTGAAATCAATTTAGTGGGTCAAAACTAGCTTTGTTGTTTTGTTTAAATGAATGGAGTAAAATTATCAGTTTCTTCACTTGAAACTTCTTGATACATGTATATGTCTATGTAGACATATTATCTTATAATTTGATGGTCAAAAATGTATAGGTCACTGATATAGGCTGCTTCTAGTATTTTGATATTATAAATGATGTTATGATAAACATCTGTTGGAAGAGAAGAACAGAAATTTTGCTGTATTTCCATTTATTGTTTAATGGCTGGTTCCCAGAAGCAATATTGCTGTACAAAATGTAGAACATTTATGAAATTATTTTTGTTGCTATCACCGAATTGCTTTCAAACTGTCCTAATTTAGACTCAGACCAGATCAGCAGAGCACTTCAATTTCACTGTTACAATTGTTAGCAAAATTTTTCTTTTCCTCTCATTATTGGTAATTTAATGAATAAAACAATTTGCTGTTGTTTTAATTTACAATTATTTGAAAATTAGGAAGGCTGAATATTCCTTGAAACATTTGTTGTAAACTAGGTATTTCCTCCCACTTTTTACTGGACTCTTCCTTTGTGAAATTCTTGCCTTTTTTCCTTCTACTTTTTATACATATTTTAAAAAGAAAAATATCCTCATTTTTCTGTAGAGATGAAGGGATAGAAGGAAGAGAAAATGGTATGGGACATTTAATCATTTTTGTCTTGCCTGGCTGACATCAACCTGCCTTTAGGCTTTTATTTTTTTCTTGATTTTTTAGACCAGCTGCCTGGTAAGAGAGATTAATCTTAAAATAACTTTAAAATAACCAGTGCCAGGATTGTTGGCCAATGTGGCGCTGCAAGTTTGTACTTTGAACTTCTTCCTTTGTGCCAAGCACTACAACAATAGGTTTATTTTACTTTTTAATATTAACATAGTAGTACTGAAAGATTTGAAACAACAGTTACAAGCCATAGAAGGCAGATTAGTAAGCTACAATACTTATAGAAATAATAGAAGGAGAATATTTAATTTAACTGCAAAGAAAAAGTTATTACTGGTAATTTTAGAAACTTAAGGAATGGGTTGTGGTTCCAGATTAAAATAATCACTGAGAAAAGTCTAAATAAAAAGTACATTTACCAGAACATATCAGAATATAGAAAAGCTCTAAAATAAGAGGAAAATTACCTACTAAAGTACTCAGAGTGGTAGAATACTTTTCTTTAGGAACAACAGATGCCAGAAATGAAAACTTTTATTTAAAATGTTAGAGACGTCACCATTAACTCAGAATTTGATACCCAACTAAACTATCACGAAAGACTAAGTAAATAAAAAACGTCCTGCCTTAAGACTTTCATTTAAATAATGACTAAGGCTTTAAAAAAAAATAGAAGTTAAGAACCCTCTTAAATATATGGTAAAATTCTCTCTGGTTAAAAAACCCCACAAAAATCCCTTCTCCTAACTATTCCAGTTATTACCTCTAAAGTTATTGATCCA